CTCTTTAATTTGCTATAACAACTTGATTATAAATTAAATATTCTTGATATTCTTTACTGTAATCATCGTAACACTTATAAATGAAGTTAAACGTTTTTTAATCACATTCAAACGGCACGGCAGCTTAAGCCAATAAAAATCTTTCCTGCCAACTCGAATTCATTATTTTTTATTTAGGTAAACGTTTGCACCCTTATTGTATCAAATTTAATTGAGAAATATTAACATTTAACAGCTGTAGAGTCTAAGCTTTTTTCGCCCTTAATTCTCGTTCTTTATAATTTACATCTAAATCACGAACTTTATTGTCCGCCGGAAACTTGAAAAATATTATGACAAATTAAGGAAATGAATTGGACGACCTCCAGCAAAATTTCTGAAGGGGAGGAAAAGATTAACAATTATCGTTGAATTCAACATTAAGAAATCAGGTTAATTATATTCTATCTGCTGAGTTCCGGTAGAGCGAATTGTCAGCTTAATAAAAATCGCAATTGAATGCCTTGGTTTCAAACATTTTTCCCTGACTTTACATCATTGCGCCATTGATAACTGAATCTAATGGCCATTATATAAAAAACTTTGACAAAGGTCTTTATATATTTTTTATGCCTGAATAACGAAATATTTTTTTTATTACGAGGGTGTGCGTTTACGTGAAATTTATCAACGGCAAAGCCTGGCACGACGAAACCGTTTTAGAAATGTAGAAGGATTTTAGTCGATTTGTTACAATTCCATTTCATTTCGGAATTTTGCTCCGTATATTGCCCAACATTTATATTGATGTTTCACGTACTTTGATAAGTTTCAAACAGCAATTTTTTCTCGTTTTTCGTCGGCAATTTGTAATGGTTTAGTGCCTCTTACCAGAAGCATTTTAACCGTGCACTCGTATCAAACAGAAAATCGTGCTTAGTTTAAAAAATGTGGATGTTTTAACATGAGTGTGCGTTAGCTCAAATTGAGGCATTGTTGACCGTTCGTTTTTATAAAAGGCAACACTGAATATTGTAAGAAGCCTTGCCCGTCTAGTGTACTGCAAATAGTACAGATGTGGAAAACCTCTGAATTAAATTTTAAAAAATTGTGTGCTTATATCTTTATTATGGTTCACTTAAAGGACACGAGAAACATAGAAAACATTTTTTGTTCTACTTTTTATGATGTCGGCGTTGGTAGATGCATTGTTGATTTTGTTATTAAAAATAATTTTGTCCAATGGTCTGTTATTAGACTATCAACATGGCTAAATTTGACAATTCCAACAATTAGTTAAACTTAGATGCAAGTTTTTAAGTAGAAAACGGTGGACTTCAAACAAGCAATGCCGAATAAATAAAAATAATTCAGCGTATTGTTTAGCAAATGAAAAAGACAAAGGCTATGTTGTCTTGCACTTCGAAACACGCACTAACACAGTCATGCAAATTAGTTTAAGATTCAATTGTAACTTTTGAGAAATTCTGTGCGTCCAAGTTGATATGGTTTGCTTCTGATTTCATGTGCGTCTGTATATGAAAGGACCTACTTAATTGGTTATGTTCTCCTGTTGGCTAAGTATTTGTAATTTCAGTCCTCCAATAGAGTTAACGTGCAGATTTCTCATTCACCCCAATCTGGACAAAAATTAATAGTGAGAACACAGCCTTAAATTACCCACCCAGATCAATTTTCAGAGTTCTACCATAAGATATCGCATACTTTTTTCGTTGTTGGATTAATAATCGATAAACATGGGCAACTATTTGAACAATTGTTTTGGCAGCTTATTCGGCAAAATTTTATTTTGTAACATCCACTTATTTTAAACTGATTACATAAATGAATGTGTAGGACTATAATTAACTCTATCATTTCTTTCTCAAATATTTCCCTTAAAACTCGAGGAATTACGTATTGTTTCATTTGATTATTCGTAGTGAGAATGGTTGTTATTATTTTTTTAAAACAAAGCTAGTTTGTTTGCATTTATGGTGACTTTATATATATATATTTCTGCAAGTTTGTTAGAGATTTTCCAGCACAACACAAGTCAAAACTGCCTGTATTATATAGGCTTGAAATATTACATCGTGTCGCCTGACTGTATCAAACTTGTAATTTAAATAGCTTTAAATTGAAATCTAAACCAAATATTAATCATAATATCGTTTTGATCAAATTGAATGTACATTTCTTTTTACGCTAATGGTAAGGATACCTGGCTCTTACTCCAGATGCTTGGGTTAGATTCCCGGTATCGGAATATCTTGTCGTTTTTATATTATAAAATATTAATGGCAATCAACCGAAAACTTTTTTTATATCCAATAGAGGAATCATTCAGGAAGGCAGAATGAGTGTAAAATTGTGTGAATTATATTGAAGTGCTCCTTGCAAGGTCAAATAGAAAATGTATTTTATTTGGTTTTTTTTGTTTTCGTTTCATTCTGTACCGTTCAAAAATCTCAGATTTGCCAATTTTTCTGCAGCATTGCACCTCATGCAGCAATTTTCTAGGTATATTATATTTTATGGTAAATGTTAATTTCTTCTGCTAGGTCAAGAAACCTAATCCATGCTGCCATCTCAAAAAACAAATTTTTATTTGTACTATAACTAATTGAAAGTCGGGCAAATTAGATTTGAAAAAGTGGACATCCGAATTTATCCAAGCAAAAAAAGAGCCATTAATCGCTCGAGAATAATAATACTATTGGCAAACATTTTTTAATTTTAGGTACAGAAGCAGTCAGCAGCCAAAAATTCAGCTACATTACGATATACACTAATGTTTTCATAAGACGGATATCTTAATTAATTATTGCCATACCTTTGAATATTGTGCCCAATTAACAGTCTCGAGTGTGTCGACTACGTAATTCTTAAAGAAAACTTCTGAAGAAGATTCTCTTTTCCATCTAATATTTTCGTTCCATATGAACGTCATGGTATCAACAGACAGTTTTCAGTAAAACCATATTAACAGTGCTAATATTTATCAGGCCATTAAAAATATTAACCTTAGATAACCACGTATTAAGCTGTTTAACTAGGCCTCTTAAATATGTACATTCGAATAACCCTCTGTGTTTGAACGGGCAAATTTTGATTTAAAAAGCCGCCCGGTGTTGAACCATTCCCGATTCTCCTTTACGTACTTCTAACACAGCTTAAATATCATATTATGATATACAGCTGTGCTTCTAATGTCCGCCGGAAGCTTGGTTCTAACAAATGAGTTTAAACAGTTACCCTAATGCATAAAAATTCCATAGTTAAGTAGATAGATGATAATTAAGCAATTTAAACATAACGTCCTAGTACAAATCGAAAAATAAAGTAGCCTGCAACAACCGACACAAAAAGTACAAATATTATGATAAAGTTTCAAGATCGTAATTTATTTGGAAGTAGTTTATTGACTTATTTCTCTATTGTGACATAGTACCAAATCTCATTTGTACCACATATTTATCACTGAGTAATCGGGCTCTGAACGGTTTTCAAGTCTTTCGCATTCAATAGAACGCGAATATGGTTTGAGGTTCCATCTACACTGCGTCCGAGTTAAGAACTTTCCAATTTTGTTTTTTGTTTAATTAGTTATATAATATCAATGCGCGTTTTACTAGTGAGTAATTTCAATATAAACCTGTGGACATGACTGACTACGTACATTTTTATGATTGCAAATTTTAAAATCTACCATCAAGTCAGTTMTAAGGAAAAAGTAGTAACCGMTTTTATCTCACCTCAAAKGRCCGAGAGTCCACCTCTAACGAGTATCATAATTCTGCGATACCAACTGTTCAAAAAAACCAAAATAATATTAATACAATTTAACACAGGCAAAAGAAGATGTGTTTGTTTAAGAACGTTGTGTTATTATCTTTTCAATTTTGTATACTGATAAAGCGCAAYAAAATAGCTGGGAGGGTTTACTGAAGGATTCCGACTCTAACTGCAGAGCACGAATCAGTACCTCCAATCATCCTCACACTGGATGTCGAAAGAGCTTTCAACAGAGCGTGGAGACACTTAAAGACGATGGGAACATGGATTAACAGAAAACTGTGGGAGCTAATCGGCAGTTATATTTGATGAAGTAGCTTCAGCGTCAAAGTTGGACCGCACAGATCAGACACCAGCAGCACTGAGGCAGCAGTATCACAAGAAGCAGTGATTTTTATGTATCAATAGATTTATTTGAATAAAATAACTGGTGACCAGAAAAGTTTCTCCTCGACGTGTTTCATGCCTATCCCTTCAAAGTACACACTTTCACGAAGGTGATTTTCTCTTAAAAACCCAAAAGAAAAGATCAAAGTATTAGCACGATTCATCTTGAGAAGACTCAAATGAGATAACAGAGCTGCGCACTGGCAGAGAAGCAATTTTGATTCCGCAACCGCCACTCTCCAGAGTTACACTCATTTTCCCGCTAAGGCAGCAACACACAAAGATACAATAAGAATGCTGCACTTACATATAGAGAGAAGGGCTTATCTACAACATAAAAGCAGACATTTGCGCATTCCGCTTCCAACAAGACAGGACATATCATGTTAAAAGCATCACGAAATTGCAGTAACTGTAAGTAGCTCAAGATACTCTAATATGCTGATTCTATACAACCTAGACATTTCATGTTCAAGGGCGGTATGACAAGGCTTACACAGGAGGCTGGACGTGGTCGCAATGTTTGTAATGCGCCATGGATGAATGGTTATACGAGTGGAACCTGTATGCCTAGGAGTCACAATAGACTCACCTAAAACCAAAAAAACAAGAAAGCCAGAAGCAGATTCAGAGGAACCATTTCTCGGCCCTCACTTGTCACTCAAGTCACTTGACCCTAAAAAACAAATTAGGGCTAATTAAAAGCGTGCCCGACCGGTACTTACATATGGATAAATTGTCTGGGATTCAGAGGCCAAAATACGTCTTA